CAGCTTCAAAAAGGCTGCTCCAGTCCGTACATCAATGGAATACACACATGCACAGTCTCTCGCCAAGCATCCATATACTGCGGACGTTCATGGGAAATTTCACTGCCTTGGCGAAACTTATGAGGATGCTGGCTGTTTGCAGATTTGCATTGTAGCCAAACCTCCTCTATCACCTCATCCTCAGTTATACTTAATAGACATTCAAGGCCAAAATATTTGCATATTCTCTATACAATTTCGCAAGCCTGTGGCTCAGTTCAAAAATGTTTTCACGAGAATACTTCACTTAAATGTCGGTTTTTTAATAACAGGGACGCTTCAGGTAGTCAAAGAAACGTCCGGCTTCGAAGATTGGGCGCTTGATTTGGCAGTTGAGATTTATACTGATTAATACTATATTAAAGCACTCAATTATGTCTACTTAGATGAGCCGCGCTCCGAAGATGTCAATAAAACGTTCGTTCGTAGTTGTAATTGTTATGCCGCCTGCTATATGACCGTTGTTTTTGGAGGGATTGGTATTCAGACGTTATCTATATCCCCAGATGAAAGCGGCCGCACTTATTTGCGTCTCATCTTGCGTGTGCTGCATAGCGCAAAGGCAAAGGCAACCAATAAGTCGTGGATTCTTCTTTTTAAATACTCTTAAACGTGCTCACATACGGCGGATGATATAGTGTTCCGCCTCATCCGTAGTTAATACCCGTCATTTGCGGCCATCAACCTATGGGAGAAAATGAGAATCAATATGGTAAGAGTGCATTTCTGCTTCACTCTAATTACCAAGCTAGCAGGTGGCCTGTTGCTGGCAGTGGGGGAGAGTGAGATCGACCCTCAGCGCATTTCTTTCCTTACTATAATCATTCTGATGCGCTTGAAACTATCACGGTGCGGTAAAAGCCGTGGGTTGAAAAATTGCCAAGTGACGAGATAACTCGGACTGCGCAGTCGGCCCAATGTCTGGCTTGTTGTATGGAGTGGCTTTATGTGGGCTGAGAGTCAGCCTCAATGGCTCCTTCTTAATGTAGCCTTTAAGGCGTTCCCCGTCGGGAGCCTACCGATCGAGACGTGCTGTTGGTACGCGTGTTGAATGTTGCTCGTGCCAACCGTCTGCACCCTCCCCCATCTCCTGCCATCTTGACTTTGTCTTGACAACCGGGTCCCGGTGTGGGAGTGGTCAGAGAGTGACGTAGATTCTCCGCGAGTCTGCTTTCGTTGAAATTTGTAGTGGACATAATCGAAACTGACAGTTGAACTGTCATGTGCGTGTGTCATAGCCCTTGTTGGATAAGAAGTCCCCGCCGGAAACTCAATTAGTTGTAGTTGGAAGACAGAGAAAAGCCGCGAGTTCAACCGGCTTGAGCCAAAGGCCCACGGGGTGATTTGGGTACTTTGCCGGGAACTGCAGGCAAAATGATGCTGACAGTCATGCGGAGAGACGTTGCTATCGGGACAGCTGTAGGATGTGAACGGGTCGAGCTGGTGTTGGTACTGGCGAAGAAGCATAGAGCAGCCACTGCGTAGTTGAGCAAAGGTACAGCGCGTGACCCTCAGGAGTTGTCGTTCCGAGGCCGCAATCAGAGGTGGATAGCCGCCTAGAAGGACCTTGGGCTGGTAGCTGAGTTTTGCGTCGACAAAAGCTTTCCGGTGAAGACGCTGGAAGCTTTTTATGATGGCTGAGCCACCAACGGGTGTATTCGCGAGATATGAGGCGATAGCTTCCTTGTAGAAAGCTCTAATAGACTGACAAAGGCTGTCGCGGAGTTCAGGAGCGTGGCAGCGGTGGTGATTGGAATGATAGAGTTGAAAACTGGTCCACCAAAACTTGTTTTCTAAGAGTGCGTTGTGGGGGGAGAGGGTGACCGGCAAGACCAAGGCTTCTTATGAAGATGAGCGATAGGCGCTATTTTGTATTAGCCCATGATTGAGCTGAGGGTGACCTTATGTGCTGAATGAAGGCGGCGGTGGCTGGAAGAGCTGATAGTAGGAGACCATATTGGTGCCGCATAAGTAGCTAGCGCCTTGAATGTTGTCGCCCAAGTCTCTTTTGCGCAACCCCAGGATGGGCCCGCTAGAACCTTCAGGATATTGGTGCAGCGGCTGACTTTGCTTGCAGGCTCCCTAGCATGGTCCGCGAACGTGAAGAGCGGATCAAAACAGACAACAAGGAGCTTGGGCTTACAGACTAGTGGTAAAGACGTACCGTTGAAAATTATAGCCGGTTGACGATTGAACTTCTTCGGGCCCAGCGTGAAAACAGTGACGGACTACTTGGTTGCCGAGATTGTCAGCACGCGCTGAGAGGAAACGTTTACGACAGCAGGCATAAAGTCCGAGAAGAGCTGCGCAGCCTGATGAATGTGATGATGCCAGCAGAAGAAGGTAACCCCATACGTGTATGAAACCACTTTTGCAGGTGCCCGAGGAAGTGGGAGCTCTCACATGTAGATGTTAAAAAGCGTCGGACTGAGTAGAGAGCCTTGGGGAACGCTGAAGATATGTTAACGGGGCTTAGAAAGAGCGCCGCGAAAAGGACGCGATCGTGGCGGCCACGGATATAAGTCGCAACCATCGGACCAGGCGAGTCGGTATGTTCAGGGAGACCAAGTCGTGCTAGAGCTGATCACGGCGAACGCAGTCAAAAACGCGTGACAGGTCGATTGAGACTGCCACGGTACGTGAAGCGGGCTTCTGTTCAATGAAGCCCTCGTGTATAGCGTGCTTGAGCTCGAAAAGCGCCATTTCGGTAGCAGGGCCTGATCTGAAACCATGTTGATGGCAAGACAGATCCACTGCATACGTCAGAAGTAGATGAATTATGCGTTCCAGGATCTTCGCCAGTGAACTGAGGAGGCACTTGGGCGGTACTTTAATTTCGGGGCGACAAGGATAATTTCTCACGTTGAGAGCAAGTCCGAACGCGAGCTCATTGAAGCCTGGGCCTCGGATGACAACCCAGTAAACAGATGTATTGTGTTGGCGCCCGCATATATTGCACTGCGCAGGAACACCCGCACGGCGGACACTGCTGATTAATGAACGCCCCCTCTCCCTCCATCTCAAACTTCCCCCTCTGCCCGTATGACATTCGACTAGCCCCTACCTCCCACAACTGTTGCTTGTTTTCGTGGAAGCTACTATCCCTGATGGTGGACTTATCGCGCGGTGTTAAGGTTAAGAAGGTTAACCTTGTTAGGATACTAGCCGGACCAAACACTAGCAACGTTTGGAGGCCTTCCTAAGGCGTCGAGCCTAGCCAAATGTCTTTGTTGGTTAGCTCTGACAGCATACAAGCGTGACTGTCCACACGAGATGACCTTAACCTCTGCGCACCATGGGTCGCAGTTGTCCCAATGCACCAATCAGGCTACAAGCGAACGCGCATTAGGCGCTCTCTTATAAGACACTGTCCCCCTGACACAGAGAAAGTTGCAGCCACACCGAAAAGCGGACGCCAGTCCGCTACCAATGCCGGACTTGCCCCGAGACGGGACAAAGAGCGGTGCCGGAGATCCAACCAGCGGCCACAGCCACCTGAGACAGCTCCTCCGGGTTTTGTACACAATAAACCCTCCTCCGGGTGGATT